CGACTAAAGAAAACAATCGAAAGATTAAACAAATCTTCATTAACACAGAAGCAACTTGAACAGGAAACAGAAGTCACTCGCGAAAAATTGCAAATTGAATTGGACGAATGTCGCGAAAAGAATTTCACTTATGAAGAGACTTTAATACGTTTAAAACGTGACCGCGAACAATTGTTGAAAGACTTAGAAAAGAAAACAGCTACAATCAACTCTATCGAATTGAAATTAAGGAATTTCGTAGGCAAGAAATCGTCGAATATTGAGAACAATTTCAACGAATTAGAAAAAGAATTCGAAAAAATCCTTCTCAAATCGACTTCATTAGAAGAAAAACTAATCGAAAAAGATCAGGGAATTCTGCAATTAACTCAAAAACTTCAAGAACAAATCCTTCTGATGAAAAACGATTTCGATGAAAAACATCAAATGTTTTTGACGCAAAAAGAACAACTATTACTCCGACATCAAAACGATATTCAGACATTGAATAATCAACTACAAGTTCGTCGTACTTTCTTCAGCTTTCGATTTACTCCATAATCTTTCGTTTAGAAAATGGAAATTCATGTGAAGGAAAGCGAACAACGTTTCAGCAGTGAGAAGAAATCGAAAAACGATTTGAGCGAACAAATGGAGAAATATGATTTGATTCTAAAACATCTCATCTCGCTTTGGCTTCCACTTCAACGTAGATATTTACAACTGATCGATTCGAATCGTTTTCTTAAACAAGAATATGTTCGGTACAACCAAATCAAACAAATTCTCAATCCGAATCATTTATTTCCAAATCGTTTTCGACTTTATGCCATTTCCATCATTGCTGCGAAAAGATTTTCTTCGCTGAAGAAAAATTCTCTTTCTGTCAAACTTCTCCCTGCATCATCGAATGTCTTTTACGATGAAAATATTCTTTCAAACTATAACAAAAAGAATTTCATTCCGAATCTCAATTTCGATCAGTTATTTCCATCGTTGATTCATCAATTGAATCGATTTTATTCGCCAATACAAAAAGGGTTAGCCACACCTCACTTCGATTAATCGAAACCTCTCTTGTTTTTCAGAACATTGCTTAAATCAATTGCCAATGGACTTCCGAGATCTTCGTTTACAAAGGTTTGTCTCACCTTTTAAACAAATTTTTCCTCGAAATCTTTCTTCCAGACAAATGATCTGATTCATTCGTTGATTGTTCAAGTTGACCAATCAGGTAAGTCTCTACTACGATCTCCTTCTTTCAACGAAGAATTCTTTGTTCATAGAATTGAAACTTCGTGAAAAAGAAAATGAATGTTCGCAACTGGAGAAAACTTTGGAGAAATATGCGAATGAAATCGATTCTCGAATTGATTACAATCAATTTGAACGCATATGCGATGAATTACAACGAGCACTGGATCGTGAAAAACAAGCGCAAGATTTACTGAACGAACAAAATAGCCAATTGAAATCTTTAACGGATATTATTCACCAGACGCAAAACGAAAAAGATTTCATTCAAGAGAAATGCAATCAGATGAAACAGAACGAAAATTATTCGAAAGAGAAGATTCAGCAGTTGACGAAATCTCATCAACAAATGGATGAAAACGTGANGGATATTATTCACCAGACGCAAAACGAAAAAGATTTCATTCAAGAGAAATGCAATCAGATGAAACAGAACGAAAATTATTCGAAAGAGAAGATTCAGCAGTTGACGAAATCTCATCAACAAATGGATGAAAACGTGAAACGAGCTGAGAAGGCGATACGACTGGTTGTTAAGTAAATGAAATTTCTTCGTCTTCGATTGTGTTCATCTTTGTTTGTTTTGTTTAAGTGATAAAGAGATGATTTCTGCGTTTTGTACGCGAATTAATTCTTTATTAAATGTGGGTGAAAGACGTGGACTAGAAAGTTTACAGCAAACTCTGATTCAATTGGACGAACTCGTTCAACTTCCGCCGAATTTCGATCAGAAAAAGTCTCCGCCTGAGATGATCTTATGTCAAGTACGTTGATCAAGCGCGATTCGGTTCCAAAATGATCCGTTTTTTGCTTCTAGACTATGGCAAATGGATTTGTTCATTTGTTGAGTCGTCTCAAAGACGTTTTGAATGCAAATACAAAAGATATTGAATCGTTGAAAGAACATTGTCAAATGTTAACTGATCAATTTCGACAAACTTCGACAGAAGAGATCTCACAGACGAATGATTCGTCACAAACGATTATCGTTCAAGCACATCCTGTTCGAATTCAAGTGAACCATCATCCTCAATCAGCATTTAAACCTATTAAACCGGAACAAGATGACTAGAGGAAAAAGTTCTTTTTCTTCATTCTCAGTGTTGTTTTTATGTCAATTTGATAAAATAGTGAATAGATATAACTCATGAAAATGCTTTTAGTTTGACTATGACCAAAATTGGTTAGATCTGATACAGATGGTATAATGTTCTAATTCAATGAATACGAGGGATAGTCGAGAGTACGTCCGAATGTTTTGAAGATAATGGCATAATATTTGAACGACTAATGAGTATCCGATTTTATGAACTTTAGTCAGTGAGAGAGATGACATTGGCGAAACTTATCATCCTTTATATACCAAATCAAATGAATCTTCGGAGAACATCTCGAAGTGACATACAAGCAAAAAAATATTTGTACGAATATATACAACGTACATACATGTATTTTGAACATGGTCATCAACGCGAACTGATGTGAATGCTGGTTCATATATTACACTATATGCAGACATGAATAAAAATGAAATGTAAGATCGCTTGCCAAAATAGGCACTCACGCTGCACTACTGGACGGCAACTGCGTCTCTTTACCCATTTGTAATTATGTCAGATCGATAGCATAGTCATATGAGTAACGAGAAAGAAATTGAATAAACCTAACTGTCGTGCATGTTGAACATCAATAAAGAGTTATAAGTAAATCTTTTACAGTCCTTGCGCATTTTCCCGCAGATGGTTTCTTATAAATTTGTTAATGCACCATGTTGTATTTCAGGAAAGTATCCATCAAACAAATGAGGATATTTAAACAGGGAGGGGGTCGTTTTATAAAATCTGTAGAAAATTATCGCGAAAACAGATGAATGTGCTGATTGGTTCTCGAATTTATTCATTTTTCAGTATGCAAAAACAAAGATAATATAAAAAGAAAAACGAAGAGTATGTGATATACACATTTTCACGATATCCCGTAGTAAAATACTTATTCAGTGCTTGGAAAAATCCAATGGAAGGAAGAGAAAAAAAAGGCTAGGTCGTATTTACGTACATATGCTATGCATTTGATGAAGCCATTATTGCTTCATAGTTGTCTATCTAACAACAATACAATGTTCTTCAACTCATCTATCTATTTTATTTTTCTTTTCTTTTTTTTTGTATATAGAAAGATTGTGTTATAACCAACACACTGTCATTTTTAGGACGTTTGACTCTACAGTAAGTTTAAAAAGAACATCAATAATCACTAATTTCGAACAATTCGTAATAGCGGTAATACTGTGTCGTAAAAAAATAGGAAATTCACATGTTTTCCTTAGTTGATCATAAATTGATTTGTATATAACATAAAATAGTGTCTCTTTTCTTTGATCTGTTCGTGAAGATTTCTCCGTCTAACCTCCACCAACAGTCACGTATGCACCTCTTAAGATGCTTCTGTTGGGATTCTTCCAATTATACGACGTATCGGACTTTTCCTTCTCCCGTATATTTGTTTGGAATTATTCCTTACCACGATTATATATATATATAGTTGTATACATCGCTATATATGTGTGTGCGTGATTCTCTTTTGTTCTTTCTCATTGTTTTGCTGTTTGTGTTCTCACAATCAACACCGAACATGCAAAATCTAAATATTCGTTTTAGAATTTGCAATATAATGGCTGATTTTGAAGTGTTTGGTAACCGTAATTTGAATGTCAATCAAATGAATCAAGAAATTAGCAGGGGAATAGCACCGAAAACAATCGACCGCGTCGATCAAGCTTATCAAAGTCGTCCAGGTGACAGCTCTGCACATGTTCATTTTGAGGGTGGTAAGCACGCACTAAGAGATGATGGAACATGGAAGCATGGAGGAAGAAAATTGTCCAGAGCGGAGAAACAGTGGCTTCAAAACTGGAATTGGCCGTTACCAAATGATCAGTAATCGATAACACGAAAGCACTCTTCCACTTTTATCATTAAAGAATGGGTGTAAACAGGCGATCGTTCGTCTAGTCATCCACTCTGTAATCATTAGAGTTCCATACACGTTGAACGTCTGACATTATTCAGGATTTTTAAATAAAATCAGTCTCGAGAACTTGTTTTAATTATGATAGATTTTATTATTAATTTTAAAGTCGTTGAATTCTTGTATCCTCCGTTAACATTATGCAAAAGATGTACTACAATCCAAATCTTACCATGTAACTACATCATTGCTATCTTGTGTATGCTATTCTCATTGACAGAATTATATAAGACGGGTTAGACGAGAGCACGCGATACCTATTACTTAAACTGATATTCGTCAAAACCTCAAGATACGGAAATTTCCAATAAATGTTTCTTTTTCTAAATGTTGTTCGACATGAAAAAAGGCAAAAATCATGTTTTCTTATGTCACTTGACGATTAAACTTCATTTTAAGAAACACCTTCATTCTGATTATAAATGTCGGCCAATGTCATTGGTTCAGTGACATTTGTTGTTCCGAATCCTAATGTTTCCGAGAGAATTTTTGAATTTTCTAAGCTTAATTTGTTGAATTCATAATTGGCAATTAAACGACCCTTGCGCAGTAAAGCTGGATCGATTGTCGTTAAATCACAATTAAATGTGNCGCCACATTTAATTGTGATTTAACGACGTCGGAATTGATATAAAAATCTGAAAACTCGACCATCACGCCGTTTTTTAAATCACAAAAACACGTATTGACTTCCATTTGATTTGTTAGACAATTGAAATTTCCGGTGATCAGATCGGTATTTGAATCATGTTGGAATTCATCATGGAAATAACCTCGTATTGTTGTTACATGGAATAATCCTCTATCAATATTGCTGGCACAATGTAAAACACATGGAAGTGAACGATATTTTGCGAGAAACAGGTGGATTGTTGATGCAGGATAACGATCGCCTGGAAAACTTAATCGAAGACAAGACTCCAGTGATAGGTTCGAGAAAGCACCAATATATTCAGGATTCGGTTTAACTTCGCTGGCTGTGATTTCTGTTTTGTCAGACATTGTTGCTGGAAATTTTATATTGAGGTATAAGAAAAAAAAACGAAGATCATTTATAGTACAATATGCAATTTAATCCCCAAGATTACGAAAGTATTGTGAAATAACAAAAAAGTACAGACAAATTTGTTCATTGGTGATTTCAATAAGACAGCGACATGTGAAAATTATTTATTAAGAAGAAAATTTGTATACTATTCTTTTTGTCTTGTTATAGATCGAGTATGTTTTTGTCAAAAGTGCATTTCGTCATGAAATTGATTAGAAAGGAAAATAGTTAATAACACCTTCATGTGCTTTTCTCTCAATTCTATTGGTTGAATGACTCTGCGAATAGAAAATGTCAAGTAAAGTCAATTATAGTTATCATTCCTTAGAATGATGATTAAGTTCCAATAGTAGGCATATCTTGAACAGTTATTCTTCTACATCGTCTTGTCATCCATGCTATAATCTTCACTAATAATGGTACAATCAGACGTAAAACAGTTAATAAACCACCAACTAAACCAAATAGTATAGTAATAATCGAAACCACATTGTTCGTCGCTTCATACATATATGTGCATTGTTTCGGTTGACAATGATTGTAATATTTGTCGTATTTAATAGATTGATTCCACTGTTCGATCATTAGCTGGTCAAGAATATCTTGTATTGTTGCGTCAACAGAGTATTTACTTGGTGATGATGAATCAAGAACTGTGACATTGAATGGTGAAGTGTATGTAATATATTTCTGAATTTCACTGATGCACGTTTTGTCATAGAAGCACGTAAGACTCGACTGAAGAAGTGCTTCGATAACGTAGCATCCATAAAAGAAGTGTGATATGGAAAATGGTGCGGCTATCATGGGATGACTTTGGACAGGATAGGGTATGACACATTTGACTGTTTCGTGACATGTGCAAGTAGAGTGGCTCACTGGATATATATTTAAGTCTAGACTCCCAATAAACTGATAATTTGACAGAAATGCTGACATTATCACATTATTCGCTGTTGTCCTTTGAATAATCTCAAAAGAAAGAAGAAAACTGCTCGTCGTTAATGGTCGTAATTGGCTAAGTAGCGATTCGAAGGTTGATAAAAATATCTCCGGTGATGTGACAATTGCACTAAGGTATTCATGCGAATAGAATTCATTTAGCCGATTCGAGATGCTTCGATTGACCATTTGACACAGTGTATCCAACGCTTGAAATGTTGACGAACCTAGATAGAGGAAGTCGTCTTTGTAGATATTCTGATATAGGTAAGTTCTGGCAAGATATGTCAGCCATTCTTCAGTTACAAAATCACTTGAGCACACTTGATGTAATGTGTAAGTCACCTGAAGAAATTCTTTGTAGTTGGTTGATACTTTTGTGCATGGACATGTGAGAGTTTGAGAATGTTCTTCATAAAGTTGCCGATACTCGCTAAGTGAAGGGTTTTCTCTGGTGACGGTTATTGTGACATTGATTAATGAATAGTAGAAGAGAATAGTTATCAATGATAGAATGAATAGAGGGATGAATAGTCTAGTTGACAGTCGTTCGTCTCGAAGATCGTTTTCGTCGGTTGAAGGCGGAACTGATGGAAACATATTGAAGTTGTAGATGAAGTGTAGTATTTTGGTCAAATAGACTGTGGATCGTGGTTGACTATTGATTCCTAAAATACAAAGGAAAGTCTATTAATAATTCGAACCTTAAGGCTAGTGTCGTCGAAAACATAAAGAATATTTACGGCAAAGGGCGTACACTTTGATAACAGAAAAGTTCGAAAGCTTAAATCGCTTTCACCCTCACCCTCATCCTGGTGTTGTTGTCGTCGTAATACCAGTTTTCCTGCGATGAACTTTACGAGAATCGGCACAATCAGTCGTAGAATCGTACTCAAGCCACCCACCAGTCCAACTATGGCGGTCATGATAAATATCACATCATTCTTCTTCTTGTATGTAAATGTGCATTGTTTTGGTTGGCATTCACTGTAATACTTTTCATATGTAGGAGCCACAGCCCACTGTTCGATCATTAGTTCACTAAGAAGCTGTTCAAGGGTTGAGTTGACCAAGAATCGACTAGGTGATGATGCATTAAGCGACATGTCATTTGTTGGTGGTTCACCGTGTAAATATGAGAGGATTTGTGTGACGCATGATTGATTATAGAAGCATTCAAGAGTCGATTGCAAAGCGGCATCAATGACGTAACATCCCGTTAATAAACCAGGTATCTCCAGTAATGTCGTATGATTCGGGTATGCAAAGATAGATACCGGTTTCTTGAAGTTACGTTCAATAGGATCAGTACAGGTTTCATTGGAATCTTTAAGCACGTAATCGAATGTATAATAACGATGATAAAAATAATAGTTAGTTTTTCTGGCCGATAGGAGGTAGTTGGCTCCAGTCGTATTCTGTATCAGATCAAGTGCAAGGAAAAGGTTTGTTTTTCCGATACTCATGAACTGGTCCAATGATGATTTCGTTTGTAGTGTAAATAACTCGAATGACGTGACAGATGTGGTTATGTACTGATTGGAATAGAATTGACTTAAACTGTCTGAGATTGTTTGCTTTGCCATGTTACAAACCGTATGGAAGGATTGAAACAATGCTTGACCTATCCATCGGAAATCATCAGAATGAACTTGATTGTCATCAGATCGGTAAGAAAGATATTCAAACCATTCGTCAGTTATTAATACACTCGAACACATTTGATGTAAGGTGTAAGTCACCTGAAGAAATTCTTTGTAGTTAGTTGATACTTTTGTGCATGGACATGTGAGTGTATGATGATGCATTTCATAGAGTTGCCGATATTCATTAAACGAAGGGTGTTCTCTCGTGACGGTTATCGTGACATTAATCAATGAATAGTAGAAGAGAATAGTTATCAATGACAGAACGAATACAAAGATGAATATTCTTGTTGACATTCGCTCGTTTCGAAGATCGTTTTCGTTGGTTGAAGGCGGAACTGATGCAAATAAGTTCAGTTTCCAGAGTTTGTTGCTGATCTGCGAAAACGAGTTGGTTTGCACTGTATTGACGTCATTTTCTGTAATAGAGAAAATACGTGTACACTTCAATACGGCGTTTCAAATCGTGTTTCACAAAAGCAAATTTCACTAGTGAGGTATGAATTATGATACTATCGGTCGGGTTATCAGTTTAGTATTAAAACAGCGATTTAGTTTTCCTTAAATCTTCGTTCACACCCACGCTACTTCTTTCAAAGAGACTCAGTAGGAGCTAAAAGAATTGCCTGTCGCATGGATTCCGCCTTTAAGTCACTGACTTTAATTGAAGTTTCTATAGAAAAAGATTTTCACTCATCAGTCATCGTTTGTGTCACAATTGCTATAAACGCCTGAGAACGATTGTATTACCGTGATCTGTTGCTTGTATTCTTCTTTTTCTTCTAATAAACATAACCGACGCGGGTACGATCAATCGTAGAATCGTACTCAAGCCACCCACCAGTCCAACTATGGCGGTCATGATAAATATCACAGCATTCTTCGTCTTGTATGTATATGTGCATTGTTTTGGTTGGCATTCACTGTAATACTTTTCGTATATAGGGGTCACAGCCCACTGTTCGATCATTAGTTCACTAAGAAGCTGTTCAAGGGTTGAGTTGACCAAGAATCGACTAGGTGATGATGCATTAAGCGACATGTCGTTTGTTGGTTGTTCGCCGTGTAAATATGAGAGGATTTGTGTGACGCATGATTGATTATAGAAGCATTCAAGAGTCGATTGCAGAGTTGCTTCAGTAGTGTAGCATCCGGCTAATAGACCTGATGCATAAGATGGCACTGACCGATCTTCCACTCTGTGAAACTGTACTTTACTAGTGCATCTCATGGCATGATCACACTTGCAACTGTTATACCATTGAGGATACACTTCGATGTCACCTGGATATGTTCGCAGTTTCATATGATAATTTGTTTGCCTTGCTGAGAGAAGGCCATTGGCCTGTGTTATATCTCGCGTCATGTTAAACAACAGAAAAAAGTTTCTCTTTGTCGACGCTTTAAACTGATTAATTAGTGATTGCATTTCTTCAGTAAATAAATGTAGCGGAATTACAGTTGCGCTCCTATATTGATCGGAGTAGAACTGGCTCAAACTGTCTGAAAGTGTTTGATTTGCCATTTGACAGAATGCTTCTATCGTTTGAAATTGACTATAGGCAATAGATCGAAAGTCCTCTTTTGTGAGCATGTTCCGATGGTGGTACGATGCAAAAGGGCGGCGCCACTCTTCTGATACAAATCTACTACTACATATCTGGTGTAATGTGTAATCAATATCGAAGAAAGTAATGTGATCAATCGATGGTTTGGCGCATGGACATATCAGACTGTTAGAATATCGAGATTGCAAAGTAAAATAGTAGTCCAGATCAGGATGATCTATTACCTTCTTGTTTGTTATATAAATACGCCAATTATATAGAAAAAGAATGGTTAAGAATAATAACAACAAGACGATGAATACTCTTGTGGAGATTCGCTGACTTCGTAGCTCATGATCATTCGCTGCTGGTGGCATAGATTTGAAGAGATTGTAAACTCGAACAGATTCCGCTAATCTGTTGAACCATTCGTGTCTTTGTCGTACTAGCAGCGACACTAAGAAACACAATGAGAATCTATATGTTTCTTTATGCCCGACATGGTCCTGGAAATTGTAAACTACAAACGCGTCAAGAAATGCGCAAGTCTGCCTTCGTTCTTGGCTAGAATCTGATTGTATTCTCGTTCAAGCCGGTTAGAAGTGCAATTGAGAGGCGCTATACACACTAGAATTCTATTCCTTTCTCAGTCAGTAATAATGACACCACTACATTCATGCCATTCTTTTCAACTTTTAAAATTCTACTTACTGCGAAGAAAATCAGTGAGAGCAATGAAAGAAATGTCATAAAATTTGATTTCATGATATTTTCCTCTGCGCCACATCCTCTCGATTACAGCCATATGTTCTCGAATCAATTCTTTGACGCAATGACATAATACATCAGCAATAACATGCGTCTCTTTTCTATTAGCGTATGAGATATCATATCCTTTCAAAGGATCCGAAAAGAAAATATTTTAGCGACAGATGTAGTATAAAAAGTATGAATAAATAAATTAGTTCTACATGCCTAGAAATAAATAGAGATGTGACGTAAATCACCATGTATCAAGAAATGGGAAAAGATTTGTTCATAAAATGGTCCGAATTTCGTTTTACAAGCGTTAGTATTTAAAGTCACGTTGGGCCTTGATCTATTCTGGAAGATTCTCATTGAGAATGTACGTATATTTGTTATTTTTGAACACTCTAGTTCTTCGTGCATCGTGAATGTTTGAATTTGTTTTTGAAATACTTCGTCCGCAGTAATTATCTCGTCATGCTTTTATCTATGTCACTATTTTTAATAATAGATGTGCAAAAGCAGCCTGCTCCAGTTTCATATTATTTTGTTTTACAATGATGATAATGAATATATATCACAACAGTACTTTGCGAAATCGTTAACGTTCACGATTCAAAGTCCACTCGATTTCGGAAATTGTAAAGATTGTAACTTTCAGCTTGAAGGAACTTAAGAGTTCCTTGACTAGATCGAGGCTTATTGATCGAAGTGGACAAGCGTTTTGGGATTATTTTGGCTCAAATAAAACGTATAGACGGCCTTTACTTATGAAATCCAGCAACTCTCCCGACATACTCTTTACCAACATAAAATTGATAAATCCGCCGTTTTGGTTTCTATTTTCTATCGATAATTCAGTTTATGTTGTATTTTCCGACTAGGTTCTAAGTGTTCTTTCAACATCGCAGAACAGACCTAAGAATATGGACGGCTTTGGCACGGAAACATGTTCACATGTTTCAATAAAGAACACTCATGTGATATATGGCGATGATTGTGTGTTGTTTAAGAACGGCTCGAATTTTATAACAGGTAATAACATAACCTGTATGGGTTCACATGACTTATCTGTTGGCAGTCACAGGTTACAGACTGAATTCCCATACATAGCCAGAAATATCTACGTATCTAATGCGAAAATGATCAATTGTACACCAGCAACTCATATTCAATTCTTTCCAGATGGCCCGTCTCGTAGAATAGTGCTTGTAAGCAATGTAACTGACAAAGACGTTACAGTCGATAATTGCTACGAATCAAACCATATGGCATGTATGGATTATTCGTTCACTGCCGAACTTACCAAGATAGAGTTTATCAACATCACTGGAAAAACCTCGCTGAAATACAATCCGAAAGTTGCAAAAATCTATTGCCCCCCATCGGATACTTGCGATATAACCTTCACATAATGGAATGTTCATGCTCCAAGTGGTAATCCATTGGGTATTGCGTGTAATGGTACTACGTCTTCGACTTCGAAAGAAAAATTTCTCTACTTCTTCTAATATTATGATACTTTTGTTTTGAATTCGCTTATTTTCNATAGGCAACCCTTCAGTCAATCCACCATATAAACCAAGAATCGTAGTCAACGTGTATACAAAATCATTTCTTTCGACATATGTATATCGACAGTTCGATGGTGCACATATCGAGTAATAACTCGAATAATTAGACGAATTCTGCCATGATTCGATGAACAACTCATCAATCAAAGTACCGATCGGTGTTGATGAGATTGGTGTGAAACGACTAGAAATCGATTGATTTAAAGGCGACGGAACAAATGAGCTTTTGACAAATTTAGCTAACTCTGTCAAGCATTCTGAACTGTAAAAACATTCAAGAGTTGAAAGTCGAAGGCCATGAACAGGTAAACATCCGACAACGAGACCTACAAGCAAGAAGAAGTTGAATTCTATTCTTCATCAATATTTTACCAGTGAATGTTCCTCCGTAGTTCATATTTTTCAGCTTCGATCTTGTACATGTCGAGGAAGTCTCACATGAACAGATCTGACCACTTTCATTTACTGAAACTGGACTTGTTGAGAACTTGTGCAACTTTCCAACAGGTGTTGTTACTAGATTCCAATTTGTCGAGAGAAAATTTTGAAATTGATTAGCATGAAGCATGCCATTGACATATTGAAGTGTTCGTCGAAAATCACGAGGCGTTTCTCGTATAAAATTGCTCACAATTGAGTGAATTTGATCATCGAATGAGCGTCGTGATAATGGCTCGACAGTGACGAGTTCTCGAGCCGATAGTATTCGTATCCTTTCCACAACGGTGTTGTTTGCAAGAGAACATAATGCTGCCAGCAGCCGAAATTGTGTACTCAACACTTTACCGTCCATGGGTATAAAATACATGCCGCTTCTATCGGACCCCCAAAGAATTTTCGAGAAGTTAAACGAAACAAAGTCACTTGAACAGATTTGATGATATTCACTTGACTTGATAGAGAGAAATTCGGAAAAGGAAACTGCAGTTTGTAAACATGGGCAAGAAAGTTTGGATGAATATTTTCTTTGAAGAGATTCAAAGGTTGATTCGGATGGAAATGGAATTGTGAGCGAGTGCACTGACACATTGAAGGCAGTAACGTTGATAACAATGAGAAGGATGATGATGAAGAAAATGACAAAAACACGAGTAGCGAAGCGCTG